AATAACTTTCTCTTACAAAAGATATTTTTTTTAAACATTAAAGAGATCTAGGGACAGACTCTGTCTTTCTAGTTGATGTTTGTTTTAAAAAAAAGTCATTTTTTTAGATTTGAGTGAACCTTGGCTTCATTATTTGTGGCCAAATTCTAAACCACATGTCTTTAGAGAGTCACAGCTGGTTGTGAACGCAACAGCTACTGCAACAGCAAACGCAAAACATCCACAGTTAGAGGCTTAAAGATCGAAAGCCAAATCAGGTTTAATTCTGTTTTCTTTTATTCATTTTTCCAAGACTTTGGTCAGGATAAAGCTAATATATACACATAACATAGAAGTTATGTGTGTCAGGATCAATTTAAAGCCCCTAGTATAAAAAATTCCACTATCCTCCCTAGAAAGCACAATTTACGAATTTTTGCTTATTTATTGGGGGTAAGGAAGGTGCTGGTTAAATAAATAATGATAGTCTTTGTGTTTATCAAAGGAAACCAAGTAGCTTGGGTTTCATCTATTCTAAAAAGCAAATCATTAAATCAAAGAGCAAACATTAAAAGATTTTTGCAGACAGAGAACATGACCAACTAGATGAGGGAAAGTGTGCACAATGGAAACAAATTTTTCAAAGGCTGAATGGGGGACTTATGACTAAATGCTAAAAAGGAGGTGCTCCTCTTCTACAGACAAGACCTCCATGTCCAGCTGACGAGTCCGGTTCACAGTACCCAGGAGAAAGCAAAGCTGGGTAATCCCGGAGCCTTAGTGACAGGAAAATGAGTACACGTCATCGAAGAATGCCATCTATCTTACTATTCCTTACGACCGTATTATTAAGAAAGAATAAACAATACCAATTATGCTATAATATGCGATATACATTCAGAGATTAAAACGTAAAAACATGCATCTTAGAATAAAACATGGAACTGAGGACACCGCCTAGCGGCAAAATAATGTAAATTCTGGAGCCGAAAACGAAAAGACCTAAGCATTTTCAGGGGGACAGGCAAGCTTCACCATCATCTATTTGTACTTCTGATTTTTAAACACGCCTTCCCACTAAGTAGCTGATGGGAAAAAAGCACTTTTTCATTTTTACGACTTCTTGTGGAGACTGAACTTACCGGCTGGCCCGCCTCCAGTCCGGCAGGCGGGCTTTCCCCGTCTTCTGCAGGCGCTGCCTTGGCGGCCCTCTCCCCATCAGTCATTTCTTTTGTCTCTTTCTCTTTCTTCAGTTCGGCCTCAGCTGCTTCCTCTTCTGTGGGTTCTTTGCTCTCTGCTTCCTTCTTCTCCTGGGCTCTCTCCGTTTCTGTAGCCATCTTCCTTTCCACGGACACCTCGGGAGGCACCTCTCCCAGCTCGGCACACGAGTCCTCTGAAACGCCACTCCCGGAGTCAGGCACCCGGGCCTGCGGCTGTCCTGGTGAGCTGGAGTCTGAACGTAACCCTGTCGCCCTCTGAGAACTGCTGGGACATTCGACCGCCATCTCGACAGCATCGCTGTCAGCTTTGGGGACATGGAAGCTCATTCCTGAAGTGCTCGGTGCGTCATCACTGTCGTCATCGGAACTCTCAGAGACGGACCCCTCCACGGTCTCTAGTCCTTCCATGCCCAACCTGTCAGAAAGAACACCGTTTATAGCTTCTACTTGAGGAAAAAACAGAAAAAAGAGCTATAGTCCGTTCAGGGAACAGAGACTAGAACCAACCGTCCCAAAGACCCAAGAGGATCTCTTTTTTATTTTATTTATTTTTATTTTGATTTAAGTATAGTTAGTATACAACATTATATTCGTTTCAGGTGTACAATATAGTCATTCGACATCTATATACCTCACAATGTGATCACCCTGCTAATTCTAGTAATCATGTGTCACCGTGCAAACTTACCGCAATACGATTGGCTACAGTCCCCTTCACCCTTCTCACCCGCCCCCTCATCCCCTCTGGCAACCTTTGGTCTGTTTCTATGAACCTGTTTTTGTTTTGTTCTGTTTGTTCATTTGTTTTGTTTTTTATAGAGTCCACATATAAATGAAACCACATGGTATTTGTCTTTCTTTAGAGGAATCTCTTTTTTAAAGTTGTGAATCTTATGAAAAAATTGATTTTATTTAAAGCTTTTTTAAATATATTGTATGAATTTCAACTGTTAAAAATTATTACTGTTAGAAATTAATAAAGTTTTTAAAAATCCTATGTTTTATTCATAATTGCCCCAAACTAGAAACTATCCAAACGTCTTATCAAGTGAAGGATGAATAAACAATCGTGGGACAGTCATACCACGCAATAAGACTTGGCGATAAAAAGGAACGAACTACTGATACATATAACACCACTGATGGATCTCAAAAGCATTACAGCAAGTGAAAGAAGCCAGACACAAAAGGCTACATGCCGTTCTGGAAAAGATAAAACCACAGCAACAAAGATCGCACCAGCCATCAGTGGCTGTCAGGGGTGGGGGGAGGGGAAGGGAATTAACTGCAAAGGGGCACATGGAAACTTTTTAGGGTGATGAAAGTACTCTACATTTTGGTGGTGGTACATGACTATATTTTTCAAAACCCACAGAACTTTGCAATCAAAAAGGTAAATTTTCCTGTATATAAATTATACCTCAATAAACCTGATTTTAAAAAACACACACAATACCATTTCCTTTTTCTCTCAGGAACGTCTAGGTCCCATTTCAGAAAGAACACACGAAATTCTACAGTGAACACACAGTTACGTTATCTTTGGTTAATAATTATCTTTCTATCCTCAAAAGGGAGGCCAACAAGGAAGCAAGATCCATTTGGACTTAACATCTTCTAGAACGTGGCCCAAAAGAACTGAGTTGGTAACCAGAGGGCCAGCTGGGAAGGGCAGAACAGCTATCAGAAGAGCGGATAAAAAAAAGTCTGCTGTGCTTTCCACTCACGAGCACAAACGTGGCGAAGACAGGGCTGGCCTGAAGGACGGCTGTGGAAAACCCCAGGGATAAGGACCACCCGGAAGGTACAGCCGGGCTTCCGCCTGGAAGGTACAGGCTTCCGCCTGGAAGGTACAGCCGGGCTTCCGCCTGGGGTTTTTTCAAAGTTAACTCTTTCAACACTAAACAGTAATTCAAGTATAAAGTTATTTTTATGTGATCTTTCTCTGTAAGGAACAATATTGTTCTTCGGATTCTATTAATGGCACTCGTAGCAGAAACCATTACTGGTGTGTACCATGTGACAATCATATAATCACTGACACTTGAAGATTGAAGCACTCTGGAAAAATTCTGAGCTGCTGCCAAACATTACTTAAAGATGTGTTATACCAGACAGACAAGAAGGAAATGTATCACGTAGTTCCTCGAAGATGAATTTGGAATGAAAATGCAACATACTTACCAAAAGCACTTCCTTTTCGCTGCACTGGTTCCTTCGTCTCTTTTTGATTTGTTAGGCCGCTTCCGAGTCTCACCACCGATTTCTGCCGATACCATCTTGCTGGAGGTGGCCTGCATACCTAACCGGAAATTTTAACAACTCAGTGTCTACTACCCCAAGTTTAATTAAAGAAATTATAAGTAATCTGGATTGCAAAAAGAGCTGCAATCTAAACCTGCAGATATCAAAATCTAAACCTCAAGATAACAAAAATTAATATGATTAAAATGAGATTAATCCCAGATTTATAGCCTTAAAATAATAAGCATTCTGGATCTGGAACCAGATTTTTTAAAACACCAATGTCTAATCTGTAAACCGTGAAGCTGACAGGTTCAAAACTAGCCCTCCTCAAAGCTAACGATTCATTCCCTTGAGCTCATTATTTGCGTGTGTGTCTCTCCCTTGTTATGTCATAACCTTTTTGATGGAAAAGATTCCCTCTTATTCGATTGTACCCAAAATAGTTCTAGCATAATGCTCTGGATTCTAATAAAATAAGTTAATGACAATCATTCTTATTAAAAACCTTCAAGTCTATGGCTGAACAAGCCTGATCCCATCTGATCTCGGAAGCTGAGCAGGGTCAGGCCTGTTTAGTACTTGGATGGGAGACCACCTAGGAAGACCAGGTACTGTAGGTGTAAAAAATAAAAAAAATAAGGGATTGTAAGATGACACAGTCCTTACAGTCTGTGAGGTCAACCAAGGATTGCCTCGCCTAAGAAATTTAAAAAAATAAAAAAAATAAAAAAAATTAAAAAAAAAAAAAAAACTGACCTAAAACTGGAAGCAAATATGTTGAGGCCTAAACACCAACTACAAACTTAACTTATCCCCATAAAACACAACATGTGTTCTTATCTGGAGCCCATGGCCCATTCAATTCAGGGGTCAAGTATATACTGAATGCTGTGTGGGTAGGCGTTCTTTTTTTTCAGGGTCATAAGATATATACTGTGTTTTGAGGAGAGACAGTCCACAGCTTTCACCAAATTTCCAGATGTCGGTAACCCAAAAAGCTGAAGAACTGCGCTTTACGTGCAGTCCATGCACATATGTGGAACAGTCTGGAACAGCTGGCTTCAGGGGTGCCTGCTGACCACACTAAGGAGTCCTCCTTCTCACCTTTGAGGACAGAATCCTCCAGACGCTCAGCCATCTCGTGGCACTGCTGCTGGTAGTCGGGGCTGGTGAAGCAGTGCCTGGGTTCTGCGAGCTTCCGCTGCAGTCGTTCTAGGCGCTTCTGCTCCTTTTCAGCCTCTCGCTCAGCTTGCTGTTTTACCCACTCAGCCATTCTGGGAATGGGAGAGAAAAACTGATGGATATATGACACATACATGTGTAATACATGTAAACGCCCCTCCCCCCAACGAATTAATGCATTCTTGCTCATACTGTGATAGTCCCTCAAGTGTGCCATGCTCACTACTAGCATACTATAATGGACTTAATTAAGACCCAAAGACAATTATGAAATTACAGAAGAGGTTAAATCCAATAATAAATTACAGCACAAATATTTCAAGTTTACGTTTCTGATATGCGTGACATGTGTATCATCACTACTGATAGGAAAGTATGTTTCCTCTTCAAAAAAATAAAAACAGATGGGCATCTTACGCCTTTTCGTGATTGACATCTCTGAGCCGCCTTCCACTGAGATCCCGGCAAGCTTCTCGGTTGGTTGTCTTCTCAATCTGAGCACCGAGTGCTCGGAGCATAGACCCAAATCCTGAGCAAATATATTTGGAGAAAGCAAGTTTAAAAGTGTTCGAGGATGGATAAATGCCGAACTTATGAAAATAGTAATGATCACAAGATTAAAGATGATCTCTGCTTTTTTTTTTTTTTTTTTTAAGGGAATGGACATTAAGATTCCTAACCAGGGAGCAAATCTGAAAGTATCCATAAACTTAATTCAACCTCATGCCTTTCGTCCTTCCTCTTACATTTCTGAAATATTGTATCTATATCACTGGTATATTTTAGAGGGCTTTATCCAGTGTCAGAGAATCCAAGATTCTCAGATTAAAAATTATATGATGAAATTTTATAATGAGTTTAAAAGGAAAGGCAATTTCAGACTGTCACTGGCTGATATGACAAGCTTCGTTCTTATCGACACAATTTCAAACAGCAGGATGATTATAATCTGAGATGTCAGCCCTCTGAAAACCAAACCAAATCACTGTAGATTTTCAGGAAGCTTAGGGATATATGTTAGTGCATCAGGAGACTAAGAATTGTTCACATTCTATTTTTGCTCGTCGCGTTTCTTTTCTCTTTCTTAGATGTGTTAATACAACCAGAACCTTAATCTACTACAACATGTAAACAATTGTATTTCAATAAGGTAACTTTAAACCTCCCTTGGAACTACAATAACTAGACACGAATCTCAATAAAAGTAGGAGATTTTATTATTTTTACACACTTTCTTCAGCAAATTGGACAGAACAATGATCATTCTCTTCATCTAAACTTCCCCAAAGCTCTGGAGCCCACGCTGCCTAAGAGCTACCCAGCTGGAGAAGGTGGGAACTGTATATACAACATCTTCCTCAAAAAGAATTAAAGAAAATATTCAAAACCAGGTAAGTAAATAAAGGACTTCATAAAGCAAAACAAGGTTGGCATACACAGAGACCAAGGAGTTTGTTAATCTAATACAGATGGCTAAAGTCTGCAAATGTGTTACAACTAAGCAGATGACATTCACGTCCTACCTCCTTTCCCACCACGAAGTCTGGGTTCCAAACTATAAACAGCTCCATGCTGTACTGTGTCGTTGATGTTAACGAGCGATCCATTGCATTTCACAAAGAAGCACTCCTCTGGAACATCCTAGAGACAAATTTGGGTTTCTTTTAATGCTGTTTATGAGACAAGTTTCCCGCAGGAAGGGACCTGGCTTGTTATCTTTTTATTACTCCGGTGACAAGCGGGTAGTATGTATTCAATTAGTATTTGCTGAATTGAAAACGAAACTACTAAAAGGAAAAAGTCATTTCATATGATGTATTCTGGGTACAATTATTTCCTAATACCTAAGCGTGATATATAGGAGAACTCTTTGTCTTTTGGGTAAATTCATAGTGAGACTGATTTGTGATGAGACTCCCTATGACACTCACTGCCAGGATGCCAAACAGAATAGACGGAGTTGGATTTAAGTTGACTGGAGTTTTCCCAAGCAAATACGACAGCAGGAGAGAGGAGCAGGGAGCTCGGGCTACATGCAATGTTGGGATTAACATGGAGGGCTATTCCTGTCTGTAAAATACCGTCTACTTTATGAGATGTCGTAAAGTTTAAATAAGATAGGGAACCTCATATTTGTTTAATGTTTATGACTTAAAAGGCACTTTAGTTTCTTTTAATATTTTATATGTCTAATGGGTATGGTATTTCCAAAATTCTAAATAACTTTAAAAGACATTAACATGAAGGAAGGAATATTATAGTTCATTTGCAAACAAAACTGCTTATTAAACAAGACAATTGAGCAACAAAATTGCATTTTCTGTTAAGATGCTTGTCAATTATAATCACTAGTAGAAAAGACCAAAGAAAATTTAGAATCGATTTAACTGTTTTCAACTATTTGTGTATTTTAAAGCACTTTAAGCACAAAGTATTATGTGATTCTTAGCCTGATCAGCCCCAGGTCACCAGAGACAAACCTATAGTCCATCAGAGTCAAATTTATCGACTCATTGCAACGAGGGGGGGCTGCACATTTTTGGAATCATGGAGTATTTCATCATCATCATCAACAACAACAACAACAGAGTTATAATATTTGGAGCAATGGTGGCGTTTAGGTGAAATTTAAATGAAATGGTGTTTTGAGAGGCTCAAAACAAAGCAGGTCTGCGTATAAAGGGGCAACACCAAGTCCAGACTGTGAAGCAGATCCAGGCTCTTGTTTCCTTGGGAACTATAAAGTTAAAATAAGTGTGGACTGCTGTGTTCAAAATCCCCTAATCTGAAGCTCTGCACCTGGGTTAGAAATCGAGAGTGCTGCCGTATATCAAAGCGACTTAGATTCTCAGGCAGGAGTGGGAAGCATCATTCTTACTGACGCAATTTCAAACAAGTTTTTTACAGTCTATGATTTTCGAGATCAAAGTCTCTCACTGAATAAGAAAGCAGTAGACTTTCAAGGGAGTCATTTTGACATTTCACAACTGCCCCCATGTCCTTGGGAGAAATACCGTTTCTTAGTAACTTTGCAGCTGACTTTATCTGTTATTCCAGTCGGATGAACAGCAGAGCAGATTTTCACTTTCTCCATGAGAGCAAACACTAAGATTATCATGTGTCAGAATACTTTTGTTTTAGAAAGGATAAGTGTGAACTTGAGCTATTTTTACATATTCCAGTATTTCGTCGAATGCCTTTTTATGTCTTGTCTTTATGTTCAGCTTTGTTATGGTGATGTTTCTTAATACACAGCTGAATCCATTCATTTATATTTTTTACTTCTTAAAATTATTTTTTCAATACTCCTCTAAATTAAGGTCCTAATTTTTTCTGGCCTCACTTTGGATCAACTGTCAGTGAGTTTGAAAATCGTACTCATGAGGTAAGAATTATCTTCAGTGATATTAATCCCAATTATTTTAGAAAATATTTCCCCATTCAGATTGACAAAAAAGGTTCTCATAGTTTTTAGATTGGACTGCAGTGTAGGAAGAAAAATGAAGACGCTGAAAAACCACCTTATTTGCAAATACACATGGCTTTTTCATGGAACTTGTCCAAGCAAACATTTGGTTTGGACTACAAATGTTAACATGTGTTAAGCTTATAAATAACAAGCAGAGGAAACAGCCTAAAGAAGCAAGGACGAGGTGCGGTTATAAAGAAAAACAGTACTAGATCAAGTGCCAAGATTAAAATTAGATTCAGGGAGACCACCCAATTTTTTGGATAACTGAACAGGTTTCCTATCTCATAGTTGGTACAAGCTTGCTTGCTTGATAATTAAACCACACATATAACTTTAAAACTCCATGATAGGTTTTCAAAAATATGCATGGACAAATGAGACCATCAAATGATTAGTAAAAACATCTAAATGACAGGCCCTAAGAATCCATGCCTTCAACAGGGCACGTGTGTGAATGCTTGGCTCCAACCAGTGAGGACCAGATAAATCCATTCTCCTCCCCAACCATCCTTTGGCCTGGGTTTGGATATCACATAGTTCTTCTCTAGGTCGGAGCTAACAGGGATATTTGATCAGTGGACAAAATGCATGTCATATAACCAATGAGTAAATGTAAGGAAAACATAAGGAAATGAGCCTTAAAAGTGATCTGGCCCAGCTCTCTCATTTACGGATGGAGAAACAGAACATCAAAGTGTTTTCTGTTAGTCCACACTGAGGGCTGGACTAGGCGCCTGTGAGCGGAGGGGTTTGTCCCCCTTCTGTGGGGCAGCACAAAACGAAAGCAAAGGAAGGCCTCAGCATCCGTTTGAAGCACCGTAAGACTGAGAAGCCCTCGGCCTTAAAAACCAAAAACCCCAAAGAACAGACGCACCCCAGACAGACCCTCTCCGCACCCAAGCCTGCCTCGTCCTCCACGTTCCCCTTCCTTCCAGGAACCGCGAACCTCACCTGATCTTGGCAGTGTCGGTGGATAAGGTCTCGGACGGAGCACGGGGCCGAGGCAGCCCGCACCGCCCTGCAGCCGAAGCCGGGGCCGCGAATCCACACCAGCGCCGCCAGCTCCGCCATTTCACCCAGTCCGGGAAACAGACACCCGGCGCCTCTGGATGACGTTGACCAGCCGCGCAGCGCCCCGCCCCGCGGGCCCTCTGCTCGCCCCGCCCCTCCCCCGGGGCGGGTCACGTGAGCCCGGCCGCGGAGCCGAGCCGGCGGGGGGAGGGGAACAGGAAGAGTCTGGCGAAGGCCGATAAGACCGCGGAGCACTAGGGCGAGGCGTTGCTAGGGGAAGTTGCTAGGGCGGGGCTCCAGGGACGCTCTATAAAAGGCTGGCGCTGGGTTAGGTTTCGAGCTTTATGGCTGTAAGCGATAAGAGGTAACTAAGCACCGCCCTGTGCTGCAGGCTTTGGCCCTTTTCCTTACATCTGTGCAGTTATTTTTGGGTGGCGGGCGGGGAATCGTGGCCTGAGAAGGCACTGCTCCCTGGGGGCGTGAGGGGAGAGGCTGCAGTCCCGGAAGCGGTTCGAGGGGGGCTGCTTCCTCCTCCCTGGAGAGATTCCCCCCACCCAAGGGGCAAGGGAAACGACCTCAGGAGGTCTCTAAACAACGGCTCCCGGGTGGTTTTTCCTCTCGGTTTACCACGCATCCTCTTCCTTTACAGAAACTGCCAACCTCTCGTTTTCTGCCAGCCACGCTCAGTTTATTCTTATTTCCGCCTGTTCGCGTTCTGCGTTATCTCCACTTCAGCTCTGTTTTCAAAATATTTCACAGCAAGTGGGCCCTTGTGAAAGGCAATGGCAGGAGTGACGCTCACAGTAATGCTGCTTCGAAAAACCCTGCTATAACTTTTATTCTGCACCATGGAAACACACTCGTACAGATTTGCATAGCACAACTTTAAGGATCTGGGAATCTGGACTCCCTTAATATTTAATACGCCGAGGTTATGGTATTTCGAAAATCCTGAACAATTTCAAAACCACTGGTGTGAAGATAGGACGGTTATTAGGAGATACCTGTGCCTACAGAACACAAATGAATTCCCTGCTGTTAAGATACTTGGGAAATGATACTCATCGCCGAAGGGAAAGGAACAAAATATTCAGAAATCATTTTACTGTGGTGGTTTGCACAGAAATAGAATTTCAACGCCTGTGAAGTTATAGCTTCTACTGTGTCTTTATTTCTCTTACACAGGAGGGAAAACGGGAAAGGGCCTCATCGTTTATTACAACATTATACCTAGTCCTTCCAAAACCTGAAATCTGAATGAAATCATTCACTTTTTGTTCCTTTGTTACATTTAAAAATTAATTTAAAAATTACTTTAAAAATCTAGGGCGATTTTAAATAGTATTGAATAGATAGTTGTCATTTAAAACATGAAATAGCTATTGTTACTAACTTTTCAAAGACACAAATTTCCAGAGCAATATATGTCATCTGTTGCTACACCCTGAGCATGTAGCACCATATATACACATAATAGACGTTAAATAAACATTCCTTAGATATTCGAAGAATTACTAATGTCTAATTATTCCCAGTATACATTTAAAGAAACATATTTTGCACTAATATAACATTTTCTCTCAGGATGCAGAATTTGACTTGGATTGGTCAATATCAAATTCATTTAAATAATGCGGAAATTGAGGTACCTAAAGTTAGGGCCAAGGCCAAGAACACCATGCATATCAGTGGGAAAAAATCTAGAAAGACAGCTGATGAGCTGGGTGGCTGAGAATACATGGTGGTGTCCAGTAGACAGTGTTACGTGGTCAGGTTGGTCAGTGGTTACGGAAAAATAGAGACAACTGCTGCCACCTTCCTCACCTCATGGTGTTAGGTAGGGAAGGAACAGGAAAACACATGTAGGGTTGTGACAACTGAGTGGTGAGTGGGTGGGGACCAGTTCCTGTACTATCAAAACAGTGTAGCTGTGCTCCTAGGACTGTATTTGGGGTTCTTTCCAATAAACCACGCTGGCTTCGTTCCTGCCCATCTTCTCCAAAAGATTGACTCTAGCTGTATGTTTGCTTTTTGATGACTGGTTCAGCTGTCACGAGAAGGACACAGTAAAAGCATCTTGAGGCAATGTGGAGTAATTGTTCACTGCCAGGAAATGACAACACTAATGTTTGTGTGGCAACCCGTGACAGGGGCTCCACTGAGTCAAAATGTCATACCGTTCTGCAAGAACAGGAAGCAGAACCACACGCGCTAGCACTTTCCATAAATGACAGTAAGGCTTCTACACTAGTGAATTCAGACTATGTCCACGCGCGACAAGCAAGTTGCACTTCTGTGTTTTCTGCCGTGTTCACGCTCAGAGGAGATGGAAAGAGGTTGCTAATGCTATCTTTACGACAAAATACAACGGTGCAGGCTGACTCCTCCTGTGCCACAAATGCAAAACTGCTACGATCTCCTAAATTGGCAAGTGTCGCCTTATAGATGGCTCTGGCCCCAGGAACAATAAAGTCAGCACCTCACTTGAAACAGCTTCTGGATAAGAGCCGTATAGTCCACACTAGGTGGTGGATGGTGTGGGAGGTGGAGCCTAAAGCAAGGATCTGAGATATTGGGCTACCAGAGAGGGCGCAGCTCCACCCTCCTTTTATTGGGCAGAAGAAAACAGGACTTGTCAAGGATGAGGTGGAGTTGAGAGGTGGAAGAGGTTCGTGTTTAGTGCTGATGCGGAAAGAAGCTGGAGAGGGGAGAAGACTGGGGTAGAGGTGCAGAGCAGAGATAGAAAGCTGGACCCCCGGTCAGTGCCGAATACAGAAGCCCACCTCTTTGTTGTAACAGCAAGAAGAAGAGGTTTTCGTTCAGAGTGGACTTACATCAAGGACTTCTATCACTCTCGATTGCCCTGGACATTACCTTGTTCCTGTTATCGTGACAACACCAGTTTCTAAAGGTTTATTGGTTAACATCATCCTTTTAGCACTACCACATAATGTTACAGTGAAAAATTAAAATTTCGGCCATGCTATTCACTAGAACTATAAAGCAATATTAACATAGCACCTATCTTCCGGAAATTTATGATCTCATCAATGGGATTTTTTTCAACATTGAAATTTTATTTCTCTCTAGGTAATAGAAATCCATAATCCTTTATGAATTCTGCATAATCAAGCCTTCCAAAAGGGGGTGTTCCTGCTGGAGAAGTGATAGGTGGGTCTTTGGGGTATTTTTTTTCTTTAATTAGTTGACATTAGAGTATGTCTACTGTATTAGTCAGGGTTCTCCAGAGAAACAGAGCCAACAGGAGATATATATGGGGAGAGAGAGAGAGAGATTGATTTATTATAAGGAATTGGTTCATACCTCACATGATTATGGAAGCTGACAAGTCCCCAGATCTGCAGGGTGAGTGAGTAAGCTGAAGACCCAGGAGAGTTAGAGTATGTCTACTGTATTAGTCAGGGTTCTCCGGAGAAACAGAGCCAACAGGAGATATATATGAGGAGAGAGAGAGAGAGATTGATTTATTATAAGGAATTGGTTCATACCTCACATGATTATGGAAGCTGACAAGTCCCCAGATCTGCAGGGTGAGTGAGTAAGCTGAAGACCCAGGAGAGTTGACGTTGTAGTTCTAGCCTGAAGGTCATCAGGCTCAAGACCTAGGAATTCTTCCATTTTGTTTATGCAGGTCTTCAACTGATTGGACAAGGCCCACCCACAGTAGGACAATCAGCTTCATTCAGTCTACTGATTCGAATGTCAATCTCGTCCAGAAACTCTCAGAGGAGCATCCAGAACGATGTCTGATCAAATATCAAGGCACTCAGTCCAGTCACCCTGACACAAAATTAACCATCACATCCACTAACTGGGGTTATCTTTGATAAAGACATAACCGTCACTATTTAATTTTACTTTGGCAACCCAAAAGAAGATACTATTTGGTGAATAGAGAGAGACTGATTAAAAGTTGGTGTTTCTTACTCCCCAGAGGTTTCACTGTGTGAACCCAAGAAACTCATCTGACTGCTTTATGCATCTGCTTCTGCACGGTTGAGCTGCACTACAACTGTTGCTAAATTTACCTTTTCACCACAGGGTGTGATCAAAATTCATGATTGTAAAATTCTTTGAGATTTTTTTTGAATGAAAAGTGTATGCCTTATCAATTAAAATGTCAAGGGTCATTGGGCAACTAAATGAGGATTCCAGTTTGAATCAATTAAAAGTATTTTAATTACAGCTGTCTGGCTAACTCACCTACCTAGAACACATTTTTTAAAAATAAAAAATAGAAATAAGCCCAAAGGTTTCCACACAGCTAAAGTCTGTGCATTTTTCCATGAGAACCTTAGGCTCTTCTTGTTTTAAAACAGATTCAAACTCAGTGACGTCCTGAAGAGCCTACAGAAAATTGGTAAATTTATATGAAGGAAATTATTAAATTATAAGAAGCAGGGAGAAAAGAATAGCAAAATCGAGACTACGAGAGGTCCCCTGGTGTGGGGATGAGAATGAGAAGTAATAGTCGCAGCTGGGGCGACGATATAAAAAGACAAAACAAAGCAAACACCGCCATTGGGGAAAATTTTGTCTTGAGTCAAACACACCACAATAGAAACTAAAGACAGTCTATGGCACGGCAGAATGATAGAATTAATGAAAATCCTGAAAATCCTGAATCCCGAAGGCAAGGCTCAGTTAGCTTCAGTGCACCCCAGTTAAGATGACAAGGCAGAATGATACAAGTTTTAGAAAAAGTCCACCACAAAGGGTAGAATGAATATATGGGGCGAACCCTAGCAATAGTGAAAACTCAGCTATTCAGAACAGCATTTTTCCTGAAAGCTCTAGACTGACAGTCTTAGAACTTTGTCCTCTCCCATTGGGTAGCTTTTGTATTTTAATGCACTTCAAATAGAGCGCAAGACAAACTGCTTCGTGTACAAAGAAACAGTTTCCTCCCTGTTCCTGTAATATGACATTAATTTCAACATGTAACTTCTCTTTTAATTATCCAGAGCCTTGAAAGACAGACGATCTATACCACTCTGGGTAAGAAGATAAGGATGGAAATGATGCAAAAATTCTCTCATTTTCCATAAGTCAGTAGAAGATTTTCCTTTGAATATTTACTAAA